CAAGAACAGTGCGCAGAGAGCTTCATGGAATGGGTTTCCATGGTCGAGCAGCTGCATCCAAGCCATACATCACCAAGTGCAATGCAAAGCGTCGGATGCGGTGGTGTAAAGCACGCCGCCACTGGACTCTAGAGCAGTGGAGACACGTTCTCTGGAGTGACGAATCGCGCTTCTCCATCTGGCAATCTGATGGACGGGTCTGGGTTTGGCGGTTGCCAGGAGAACGGTACTTGTCTGACTGCATTGTGCCAAGTGTAAAGTTTGGTGGAGGGGGGATTATGGTGTGGGGTTGTTTTTCAGGAGCTGGGCTTGGCCCCTTAGTTCCAGTGAAAGGAACTCTGAATGCTTCAGCATACCAAGACATTTTGGACAATTCCATGCTCCCAACTTTGTGGGAACAGTTTGGAGCTGGCCCCTTCCTCTTCCAACATGACTGTGCACCAGTGCACAAAGCAAGGTCCATAAAGACATGGATGACAGAGTCTGGTGTGGATGAACTTGACTGGCCTGCACAGAGTCCTGACCTCAACCCGATAGAACACCTTTGGGATGAATTAGAGCGGAGACTGAGAGCCAGGCCTTCTCGTCCAACATCAGTGTGCGACCTCACAAATGCGCTTCTGGAAGAATGGTCAAAAATTCCCATAAACACACTCCTAAACCTTGTGGACAGCCTTCCCAGAAGAGTTGAAGCTGTTCTAGCTGCAAAGGGTGGACCGACGTCATATTGAACCCTATGGATTAGGAACGGGATGTCACTTAAGCTCATATGTGAGTCAAGGCAGGTGAGCAAATACTTTTGGCAATATAGTGTATGTTCTTGTTATCAAAATTTGCCTTTTTGTTTGGGAGAACAACCCGCTTTTTTTTTTTTAAGGAGCAGGATTTAATCAGATTCAAAATCATTTAATATCAGTCAAAGGCCACTTCTATACTTTGATTTGATGTATGTTTTCCATGAATAACGAGTTTTTCCAACTTTTGCAGATAAATGCATGATGTTGATATAATTTCTATGCAGCTGAATTAAGCTCAAATTATGTCCTTATTTAGTTAAATAAACAGGAACCCCATCCAGGATTCACTAAGCACAGGCTTTTCTTTAATTTTTTTTTAATCCAACATAATTAAAATGTTGAATTACCATAGATTTTTTTTCTTACTGTTTAACACTTTCAGTATCAAAGTGGGTATTTCTTTTTTATCTTGTATTAAAGAGCCAGAATTTTAATACTGCAGTGGATAAACAGAAGCTTTATATACATTTTTTAATGAATGACTGAAATCAGCTTTTTTCTTGTGGATGAATCCTTACATTTAGTTCAAACATTTAAAAGAGGAAACAGATTAAAGAGTTACTAATAGAAATAACTAATTTTAATGATCCATTGGTGTTTTTGTGTTTCTGTTTTATCATTTCCCTGTTTTTTTATGCTCTCTCTTGAGTTCCCATTTCATTTCCTTTTTTTTATTGCTGTCGTTCATTTACAGTTTCTTTATTTTGATTTTTGTTTGGGTTTGTTTTTACCTCTGATCAGTTATTTACTGCTATTAGTCATATCAGCTCACTGCTTTCATTCTACCCAGCTGTTCCTCTTTATGATCGACTTGCCTCGCCAGCAGCCTGTTTTCATCCCCCACCCTGCCTCTGTAATGAAGCTGTTGATCATTCCCTGCCAAACTCTTGCTTTCAGCTGCCATGTCCACCGGTTCTCCGTCACATCTGCCTGTTTCTTCATACATGCTTTATGTTCTGTTTTTGTTTTGTCACATCCTCAGGTGATTTCCCATTTTGGGCTGTCTAACAAATGTCTGCATTGTAGTCCTACTCTGTACAACCATCAAGATATATTTCTACCCAAAGATAATAAAAAGGGATACATTTACGACTTAAAACTAACAATGAAGACTCTTTATTATTGATGTGAGCATCTGAACCATACTAAATTATAAAAGTAGTTACTTTATTTAAAACTGAACGCTTGAACTACTTCCCTGATCTTTCCTGTGTTGGCTAGCATCCTGCTTGCTGTTAGTTTAACTTGTTTAATTTTTAAAGATACCTTTGAACAGAGCAAACTAATGTTTACTTAACATGCAATAAGCTACTTTTTTTTTTTTATAAAAACACATTTATTTTTTGTATAGAAATTAGATAATTACAGCTAACATTAAAATGTTTTTTAAGTGTCTTCACTGTAGACAAATTATATAAAAAACTGCTTGAACAGTGTAGAAAATGTGGATCTTCAGTTGTTGTTGTTTTTGTCTGGATTAATATAGATTAAAACGACTGAGTAAGTAATTTTCAACCTTCCTCTGTGCTCCATTGTTTTGTTTTTTTTAGAAAGGAGTTTCTATTCTCTGTATGCAGTATTTTTGACTGCAGTAACAGAAAGACGGCCATATGTTTAATGCATATTTGCAACTCAAGCCAGCAGTATCAAGGGTTAGCAACATTGGTATCTACTACAATGGAAATTGCTAGGGTGGCTTAAGTGATGAATTATCATGTGTGTGAGAATGTTTTTATTTCTCATGGCTTTCTGGAAATGAAACATTAATGCTGTTTTTGGATTTCCAACAGAAGCGATAAATTATCTGAGATTTTGCAGAATGTAATCCCAAACGTAACTACACTATATTGCCAAAAGTATTTGCTCACCCATCCAAATTATTGGAATCAGGTGTTCCAATCACTTCCATGGCCACAGGTGTATAAATTCAAGCACCTAGGCATGCAGACTGTTTTTACAAACATTTGTGAAAGAATGGGTCGCTCTCAGGAGCTCAGTGAATTCCAGCGTGGAACTGTGATAGGATGCCACCTGTGCAACAAATCCAGTCGTGAAATTTCCTCGCTCCTAAATATTCCACATTCAACTGTCAGCTGTATTATAAGAAAATGGAAGTGTTTGGGAACGACAGCAACTCAGCCACGAAGTGGTAGGCCACGTAAACTGACGGAGCGGGGTCAGCGGATGCTGACGCGCATAGTGCGAAGAGGTCGCCAACTTTCTGCAGAGTCAATCACTACAGACCTCCAAACTTCATGTGGCCTTCAGATTAGCTCAAGAACAGTGCGCAGAGAGCTTCATGGAATGGGTTTCCATGGTCGAGCAGCTGCATCCAAGCCATACATCACCAAGTGCAATGCAAAGCGTCGGATGCGGTGGTGTAAAGCACGCCGCCACTGGACTCTAGAGCAGTGGAGACGCGTTCTCTGGAGTGACGAATCGCGCTTCTCCATCTGGCAATCTGATGTACGGGTCTGGGTTTGGCGGTTGCCAGGAGAACGGTACTTGTCTGACTGCATTGTGCCAAGTGTAAAGTTTGGTGGAGGGGGGATTATGGTGTGGGGTTGTTTTTCAGGAGCTGGGCTTGGCCCCTTAGTTCCAGTGAAAGGAACTCTGAATGCTTCAGCATACCAAGACATTTTGGACAATTCCATGCTCCCAACTTTGTGGGAACAGTTTGGAGCTGGCCCCTTCCTCTTCCAACATGACTGTGTACCAGTGCACAAAGCAAGGTCCATAAAGACATGGATGACAGAGTCTGGTGTGGATGAACTTGACTGGCCTGCACAGAGTCCTGACCTCAACCCGATAGAACACCTTTGGGATGAATTAGAGCGGAGACTGAGAGCCAGGCCTTCTCGTCCAACATCAGTGTGCGACCTCACAAATGCGCTTCTGGAAGAATGGTCAAAAATTCCCATAAACACACTCCTAAACCTTGTGGACAGCCTTCCCAGAAGAGTTGAAGCTGTTCTAGCTGCAAAGGGTGGACCGACGTCATATTGAACCCTATGGATTAGGAACGGGATGTCACTTAAGCTCATATGTGAGTCAAGGCAGGTGAGCAAATACTTTTGGCAATATAGTGTAACTTCAATGTAATTTCTATAAAGAATGATTTTATAAAATTATCCACGTAAACATAGGCTCTAAAATTCTGAGAGAACAAAAAAGTTAAGATTTAACAATTTGAACAAAGATCTAATGTGGATAAAACCAAGAAAACGGCTCCCCTATTAATGTGATTTCCACAACCTACCAGATTATGACGAATGATGTACTGTAGTACACAGGATTAACCTCAAAGTTTGCAAATTTCTTCTTCTCAAAAATATTGCAGCAAAATGTCTGTTTTAGTCAATTCAAAAATGGAAAGTCAATGGGAGGCTTGGTTATAAGCTGTTTTCTATTTTTGCCCTGGTGCTTTCCTGGAAAAATTTGCATTTCTAGGCATTTTCTTTTATTGTCTATTCTTTGTTTTATGTTTACAGTTACAAGTATACAAGGTTTTTACACGCTTTCTTAAGCTGATAGCAAACATTTAATGTTTTAATCCTGTTATGACTATTAAAAGGAAATGTACAATTTGCTGCTGTGCAATGACTATTCAGGTTACATCTCTTTTTGTTCTTATTTTTCTAACCTAAAGGTTGGCTGACCATTTTGGATTGAAGTTTTAGTCCTGTAGCAAAAAATTATTCAACACAGTGAAGTGGTTAGATTAGAATCAGAAATTAGGTGAGGGTTCCCTGCCACGTATAGTTGCTTTTATATATATTATATATATATATATATATATATATATATATATATATATATATATATATATATATATATATATAGATAGATAGATAGATAGATAGATAGATAGATAGATAGATAGATAGATAGATAGATAGATAGATAGATAGATAGATAGATAGACAGACAGACAGACTTAGGCTGGAAATTAGGATACATCTCCTACTGTATCAGAGGCATAAAACATAAGTACTTACAAGTATTTTCGTTCACCATTAAAATACAAAGCAGATTCACAATAATAACATGTGATTTATTTATGTTTTTTGGATTGATACAGATCATCCAGTTGTTTCAACACTGTCTTAATTGAAGAATGGAATGAAATTCAAAATGGAAAACTAAAACTACATTGTATCTTACTTGCCATAAAAAAGTTATTCTATTTTATCTTGTTTTCAGATGAGCAGCAAACGCTCCAGCAGTTTCCGACGTGCCATTGCCAACGGGCGTCGCACCCTGCAGAGGGAAATCCTACTGGACGAGACGGGCCTTGGGCTTTACAAGCGTTTTGTCCGTTATGTGGCCTACGAGATCCTGCCATGTGAGACGGACCGACGCTGGTACTTCCACCAAAACCGCCTTTGTCCTCCGCCCATCTTCATTGCAATTGTCACCATCGTTCAGGTTCGAGAAAACCCTTTGAGCTTCTTCTGTGATCAGTTGATTTGTGGTGAACGAAATGTACACACCTATAGGGCTAATTATTGCCCCTCTTTGGTGCAGACATGCTTATAGGAGAGATACCTGCTATCAGTGGTACAAACCTCTGCAGCTCCGAGTTTTCCAAGAACACCTCTTTGAAAAGATTTATAGCTTCGAACCGAACTTCACATGAGCCGGTAACCCTATTGGGAGCCAGACTCTTAAAGTGCAGTTTATTGCTGCTCAATAAGTCCTTATGGACAATTTTTGAGGTGACCCACTTTGGATATCGGATTTTCTGTGAGTTTGCACTGTGGATACCGATTAAAAAATAACTGCTCTAATGTGGTCCATTTAGAAAACATTTAAAAGACTTGGAAATGGTGTTGGGTCACATCTGAAAGGTTGAACATTATGCAGTGAAACCAACCAATGCAATTTCCTCATTTCCCCTGAAACCATTAGAATTTTCAGGAGGGAAAGCCAAGTTGCCTTTGAATGTCTCTAAATGGAGCCGACGGGCCTGTAATGGCATGAGAATATAATTGTTCACATTCGCTTTAATTTAGAGGGACAATGAGCCATTATTCTATGAGAAGAAATTAATGGAACTGATCCAGATGTGTCTTTTATTATTGCAGGCAGTAATTGTCTCCACAAGTTTAATAAGCATCAAGTGAGGAATACAAAAACAGTCAGAAATGTCACATGTCTTTCAGAAAATATAATAGGGTTTTGTCTCACAGGACCTTATTAACAAAGCTGGCATGAACGCTGTGTTGCAGATAATTGTGTTCATGTGCTATGGCATCATGCTCAACAAGTGGGTTCTGCAGACCTACCAGCCAGACTTCATGAAGAGCCCACTGGTCTACCATCCAGGTCACCGTGCACAAGTGTGGCGATTCTTCAGCTACATGTTTATGCATGTTGGGTATGTTAGCGTGTTCCTCTTTCTTTGACTGCTGATGACAAGGCTAAACAAGGGCAACAAAATCATCTTTAAACTTTCTTCTCTCTGCAGATTAGAGCAGCTGGGATTTAATGCTTTGCTGCAGCTGATGATCGGCGTTCCTTTAGAAATGGTCCATGGCATCTTACGGATAAGTTTACTCTACATGGCAGGAGTCCTGGCCGGTGAGTGTAATTCTGGTTTAAGATCGTTCTGACATTTACAAGCTTTAATGAGAAATAAGAGGGGAATTATCAAATGAATATTGTAAAGTTATATAAAGTTTGCTTATTTAGGTGACTTGCAGGGCTTGCTGCTTTTTTTGGGCTCTGTACATATTTGTTGTTGCGATTTTAGTTTGGAAGTGAGTCAAAATATATATTATACCCATAGAATCAACTTTTAAAGGTATAGGATTAAAGGTATAGGTAAAGGATGTTATTTTTCCGGGTGGATCATCAAAATAAGTGGTCCTCCTAATTGTCAATCATTCTGGTGATATGTTTACGTAAGGTCGTCCTACGTGCTTGTCCTCATTTTCCCTTAGCTATGGTGAGTCTGACATAGTGGAAAAATTGCAAATCTTATTTTGGAAAGTAAGCTTGTATGAGCGATGCAAACAACAACTTTTAAACAGAGCTTGTTTGAGGAGAAATGGGCTCATGCACGCTCTTGCCGACGTTTAATAGGTGTTCCCTCTTGGGAGCGGGTACAGAGTTGTGCATGTGCATTGTTTTTTAAAAGTAGAGAGGGTGAGTCTTCTCAAAGATTTGCGAAAATCCTCCACTATACCTTTAAATAAATATACTTCTCATTGCAGTACCGTAATTGACCTGAACTTTAATTTGAGAATAATTATGTTCAGGAAAAAATCCAGAGGAAATGTCCATCTGCCTCTTGCAAGGCTTGTTGAGTTGTTCACAGGGGCAGACATGAAACTCAAACCTAAACATGTACTATGCTATATAAGTACAACTGTCGTCCTTTCTAACTGAAACTCTTTAAAAATGCTTTATTATAGAAATCTGAAATCTTAAACAGAAAAACTTTAAATGGCTCATTGCGTCTTTCAGTAGGATCATGATCCAAATCAACAGAGAAATGTCTAAATGTTTTAGGGAATCTGAGTTAGGCTGAAGAGAAGAGAACATGAGAGACGTACCATGACTCCGATTGATCTAGAGGCAAAGACACAATTTCACAGATCCTTCTGTCTGTTTTCTCCAACTTTCTGAGATGCTCTAGGAGAAGAAGGACTTTCTGTCATGCAACATGGTTTACATGGAGAGCAGACAGTATTGAATTGTGTGCATATCGATTTTGATCATAAAATTTGAATAAATTAATAATAAATTGATAAAATTTACTTAAATAAAACTTAGAAAACCAACCCAAGAAGAACTCTTGGAAAGAAATTACTTTCACTCTTGGGTGACAGGAAGAGGTTTTAATAAAAGTAAAAAAAAAAAAATTTAATTCTTCTTTCTGATTTGCTCTTAGTGGAGGGGGATGCTTTCTCTGTCTCCCTCCCCTGTCTGCCCCGCTTCAGCTCTGTGTCGTATCCTCTTTTGGAGTCTCTTTTTACATATCTTCCAAGACTGAATTGTGGATCTGGTCAGCTGGTCTCTCTATGCAACTGATCAAATGTTTTTGACGAGAGGACAGGGTAAGGGGGAACCCTCCCTGTTCAGACAGGGACCTTTTCTCCAGATACATAATGAATTCCCAGCAAAAAGGGAAGATTGTCTTCCTGCCGATTACTTCTGTCGAGGACGTAGAAAATGTGTGCATAACTAGATTTTTGATAACAGGATTTCTGCTGTTTGGAATTGGTGGATACCTGTCATATTGTGGAATTTGGAAGACATTAGCAGCTGTTTTGTTCATTCTTGGGTTGCCTGGCATGTAAGAGAGGATCTACAAGCTATAAACACTCAGACTGAGAGATGTTAAAGGGGAACGTTATGAATGCTTGCGTATCATAATGAATAAATTATGAACAGTTCAGTTTGTGCCTTCAAGTCGACTGTCCATAGGAAGATGTTACTTGGATATAATCTAACGGAATATCTTCAGAACAGCTCCAAATGACACAAAACTCATATGGGTGAGTAGAACATGATGTAATGACGGTTAATCAAGAGCCCAATGTAAAAAAAAAAAAAAATAGCTTTCCCCTTTAAGGGAGCAGAATCGTTTGCTGGATGTGATCTTTGAACAGGATCATAGACTGGCTGGGGTTCCTGGACTCAGAGGTTAATTTGTATAATGGAGAAAGTTGTAAGTTTGGATCTGGCAGAATGAACCATCAATTTGTTCTATTCACCGTGTTGAGACACCAGCAAAAATTCTCAAGGTTGGCAAAAAAAATCATCAGCCAGCCTGACCCAAACAATCTGTTTCAGTCTGAAATCTGGTCTGGCCTACAGAAGCCTTAGCTACTCAACTTTCCCTGGATTAAATGTAAACATGATGCTATCCCCTCTGCCCCCCTCCCATCCTTAAAGACGTGGTTCATGTGCTGCCGGTCGATGAGCATTACACTACATCGTTCTATCAAGGACAATGGAAAAGTGCTTCATTGACTTATTTTGCACACTCCACCATTCCCCCTGCAACATGCTTTGTTGTATCTGTGTTGTTTCTGTGCTGATTTTTGTTTTGTTTTTTGCAATTTCAAACTGTATCCTGCTAAGGAAAAGGGTAAAATATGATATTTTTCCCTCACCTTACCCATTGTGAGTTTTTACCCCATCTGAAAGGACAGGGCCTTTGATGTCAGCAAGGCCTCGGACACCCTGTCCCCCCATGTATAATATCTGTGTTTTGTCTTCTTGGACAGGCTGTAGTGAAACTGAATTTCCCTTTGGGATTAAAAAAATTGTTATTGAATTTAATTGAAAACTGCATTTTTTTCTACTTCTCATATTGTTAGTTGTTGTAAGCTTGTGGTTTGTGGCGAAAAGCCACACAAAAGCTGCAGACGTTGTGTCGGTGCGTCTCAATACCACATATAAGGTGCAAACATCAAGTATAACTGAGCCTTGAGCAGGTAGCAGAATGAGTACCAAGAAGTAAGGGAAGGATCCATAAGGAAACAATGACCAGCAGTGGATTTAGATACTGAGAATGACACAGAGAGCACGTGTGGTAATGAGGGAATAATGAGGAGTAGCTGAAGAAGAAGGTAGGCAGAGAGGTGGTGAGAAGGACCCTTATAAACACAAAAGTGTCAGGGTTCCCTTCTGTGTGTGTGAGAGAGAGTTATGCATCTCTTCCAGAGAGGATCATTGTGGAGAACCTGGGAAGTCTACACAGGTGAAACTCATCAGTATCATCAGAGTTCTGGACTTTAAAGAGCAGCAGAGCTTCACTCAGTGCTACTTTCTTGTTGTTTTGTTGCTTTCTCTGTCTTGCTTCTCCCGAATATTTTCCCTGACAAATAAAAAAAAAAATAATTCAGTTTTTGTGTATTTTTCTAGATTTTTCCCTCAGTTGCCTGTTAGTCTTTATTAAATCAGCGAAACTCACCTATGCCTCTTCTCTGCATTTGGGTCCTCAAAGCCTCCACCCAAACGGAAAAAAGGAGTCAAAGTAAGTTTCATGGAAACACCAAACCAAGGGGGAGAAATAAACTAGAATATAGAGGAAACAAAATTCAAGAAATTATAAAGAATCTAACATTAGATTAACAAAATAATAAACCAACACCTGGAGGACTTAGACAATAAGAAAGAAGATGGAGATGGAACATTAAAATATATGTATCAGTGGTAGTTTTCTATGTGAACAATTGTTTTATCATTAGATTTTTCCCTAGTGAATAAATTAACCTAAATCAAATGTTGGATTTTTCTAAACTCTTACCCTAAGATAATTTTTCTTCAAAAGAGATGGATTTATTTTAAGGCTTTTCAAACACCTCTACAATAAATAGGAGAGGGACAGAATACGGGATTAAAACAGAGAAATAAGAGGAATAAGTCTTTTTTTTTCACAGAAAGCCAAACAGAAAATGCTGTTTGTTTTCTTTGCTTTTGTTTGTGTGTTTTTTCAGATTGCTGCATATCTGTAGTGACCTACTTTATTTTGGGGTTTTCATTGTTTACTCCCTGTGCTCTGATTGTCTGTCTGACATGTTCCATTTACTGGTTTTGTTGGAACTAAAATACTGGTTACATTGGCAAAGTAAAACTGCAGGTGCTGTTTTCTTTTTTTAACACAAGCACCTCCAGTGAAACAGTGAAATCCACCGTCTTGTTTAGTAGTCAGACAAACTGATGTTAATGCACAGTAAGTCAAGCTGAATGATTTTAGTTTTTTATTAACATTCTGTTTCTATTCAGATCTGTGTTTTTAATAAGCTAAGATTCATAGCTAGAAGTGTCTTCGGTCAAATGATAGCATACAGGCTGCGTACATACAATTAAATTTAAAATATTAAACCCGTGCTGATAGGACGGCGTTCCAATACTTCATTCCTCCTCACTGGAACAATTCCTGACCTGTTTTCCATAAATCTATTTCAGCCTGTTATATGGCTGCTGTTGAAAAAAGAATCATATTTTTCTACATTAATCACATCTCAGTAACATGATTGTCAAACTTCTCCCACCATCTGACTAAAAATCCAAATTCCTTCTGCCTCCTCCTGGATCTCTGTCTACTAAAATATAGTTAAAGCAGCTCAGAACTCGGCGCCTCGCTTCTCTCTACAGTTGAATGAACACACACTGTTACTGCTCATGAATTATTAGGCCTTTGATTCATTCTAAGCATTGATGACAGCAAGAAAGTGAGCCAGCATGGAACCTACTGCAGAAGATCTGAGAGACTAATGCAGGGTTTTTTTTCTCTGCAGAATTAACTCAAGTTTGAATTGCTGTTGCAGTTCGGAGATGTAAGCTGCAGCTTTAGAAGAACAGAAGGATAAAACATTGAGGGGATCATGCAAAGTGACAGTCAGAACCTCAGATCTGGGTGCTGAAAAATGCTTCTCTTTAAATTTTTTACATGTGTCTTAATGTCCACAATAGAAATTAAACCCTCTGACTGATGTTCAATTTTACTTTACACATCATTTAACATAAGTCAAATTCATTTTTACTTTTCATAGTTTTCATCATCTCAATCCTTGGGTCTTGTACAGATTTTCTATCAGATTTAAGGTAAGACTTTGACTAGG